AAATACTCCTTAAAATATCACCTTCCTCATTAATTACTTAGTTACCCAGTGCTACACATTATATAGAAAAGGCAACATAGATGCATGATTATTTTCTTTTGTTTACACATTTTCAAAATAATGGGGATAATTCTCAGAATATTCCAAAGGTGAGCAATTTCTTTAGTATCATTATGAGCTCATATGTCATGTATTGGTTGGATATGATTTCAATCCACTTGTTTATGACTTACGTGAGGATGTTTTATTCCACTTGCTTAGGGCAAAGACACACAAAAATTGTTTTTAGGATAAAGTTGTTTCGATAGGAGAATGAAGTAAGCTGTGTCAGGTGCCATACCCCCCCCCCCACTGGTGTTGATAAGCATTCAGTAGTTCAGCTATTGTGTATTGCTGGGCCCCATCCCACAAGTTTCTGCTTCAGGAGGTTGCCCCCGCTCGCCACAACTAGAGAAAGCCTGTGCACAGCAATGAAGACCCAACGCAGCCATAAATAAATAAACAGACAAACTCTATTTAAAAAAATTTTTTTTTAATTGCTATTGATGCTACTGGTCCAGGGACCACATTGTGAGAAGCTCTGTTCTAGAGAAAGCATCTGAGTAGCGCACCAGCCACAGCTGAAAAGATGAACTTGTCTGTGATCAAAAGGACAATATGCACCCCGATGTTCATTGCAGCACTATTTCCAATAGCCAGGACATGGAAGCAACCTAAGTGCCCATCATCAGAGGAATGGATAAAGAAGACGTGGTGCATATATACAATGGAATATTACTCAGCCATAAAGAGGAACAAAACTGGGTGATCTGTAGAGACATGGATGGACCTAGAGACTGTCATACAGAGTGAAGTAAGTCAGAAAGAGAAAAAAAAATCATATATTAACACATATATGTGGAATCTGAAAAAATTGATATAGACAACCTTATTTACAAAGCAGAAATAGAGACACAGATGTAGAGAACAGACGTATGGATACCAAGGGGGAAGGGGGGGAATGGATGAATTGGGAGATTGGGATTGACACGTATACACTATTGATACTATGTACAAAATAGATAACTAATGAGAACCTACTGTATAGCACAGGGAACTCTACTCAGTGCTCTGTGGTGACCTAAATGGGAAGGAAATCTGAAAAAGAAGGTATATATGTATACGTATAGCTGATTCACTTTGCTGTACAGTATAAACTAACACAATATTGTAAAGCAACTATACTCCGATAAATTTTTTTAAAAAAGGAAAAAAAAGAAAGTAAAGCTGAAAAAAAAATAGTGCAAACCCATAATCCTCATTAGTTATTCCAAGTTGCCTTTGGTTTATTGCATACCCTTAACAAATTGTTCTCCTATTTTCTTTTAAAAATGAACTTTGACTAATTACTGAATATAGCAGGCATACATTTTTAGTAAAAAAGGGTGATGCCTCCTCATGCAGATAGACAATGGGCTTTTCCTCTCTCCTGTCTGGTGTCCTGATGACACACCACAGCTCATCTCTCATGGACCCCATCACCAAGATTTCACAGCATTGTCAAAGCTAAGTTCATTTAAACTTAAATTTGGAAAGAAGCCCTCTACTTCCTATTACTTTGAGAAGTAGGAAGGAAGACTGAAAATGAAGCAAGGCTTCAAAAACCAGAGAAGCAGCAAATGTGTTGTCATAGCCCCAAAAGTTATTAGGAGGGCTGCTCAAGATAGAAGAGGCTTTAATTATGGGGGTTTTTTCCTTCCTGATGTTTTAGTTACATTTGGTTGTGAAGGTTATAAAAATGAGTAAGACGTGACCCCAGTTCTCAAGGGGTGTACAGTCCAGCTGGAGGGCTGACCTAAGAAGGAAGCAGAAGGATGTGTGTTGGACCAGAAACTCAGGAAGCACACTGTCAGGGCACACGGGAGGGGAGGGTTGACTCCAACCCAGGGATGCACAGAAGAAAGGACCCGCCTCCCAGGAGCGTCTTCTTTGTCTACAATTCATTGAATCCTCCAGACACCCTCCTGGGGTCAGTTATCTGTGAATCTTATCAGTGTCAGAGCTCTTCCAAGGATGAGTAGCCCTTTGAGATACGAGAATAATTAAAAGAAAGCAATGAACCACTGAGCTGTCTGAACTTGAACTCGAACTTTTATTATTCTTGTGAAGGCGTGGGCTCCTACAAATATAAGGTGCATTATACCTTAAACCTGCTTCAAAGCTTGAAGTATTTGACCATGACTTAACACAAGCTAAAGACAGAACAAAACAAGACAGAAAACCTCGTAGCAGTAGCACACCTTTCTGCAGTCCCTCCCCTCTCTCCAATTCCAGCACCAGAAGCAAACCTCATCCTTGACTTTGGGAGCCTGCAGGCTCTCCTATGAGTTCTTGGGATGCTCTGATGCTCTAGCCACAGACACTAGGATCCCAGACTTTACTAGACCCCTCGGTCCCATGTTCGGCATCAGAAGCTCAACAGAGAGATCCCTCAAATGGCATTGCGTCTACAGGCAACCAGCAGAGAAGAGAGGGTTATTCTAGGTCAGAGGGAGAGAGCTTGTCACTCTGTGACCTGAACGAATAGGCGACCTAATAGATGACTAATAATAGATGATCATTCCTGGAATGATCACGAGTTCACATTTCCTGGTCTTGGAAGAGGAGCTAAGAATACTCCCCCTTTCAGACTGAAGGCACCTCAACAGTTCTCATTTCACAGATAAGAAAAATGAGGCACAGACATGTTAAGTGATTTTTTCCCCTGATCTCACAGCCTGTCTGACTCAGTCACTACAGCATGCTGCTTCCCAGGGAAACTGAGACCCCCCTCGGTGGACAGGGCGTCTCAGCCCAGAAAGTGCCTTACTTGTTAATTCCTGTTTTCCTTCCCCCAAACCTCCAGAAAGCGCTACTGCTGTGCCCTTCAGCTCTCTGAAGGGATTGTGAAATGGTGTGGCTGCCTGATGCCTGGTTGTCTCAGAAACACCAGCATGGAGCTTAAGGCTTACATCGCTGATGTGCACCTGTGCACACATCCACGTCACACTCAGGTGCACGCACACCTGTGCACTGGGTGGATTCCCACCTGTTTCCGAGTCCTGCATCGGGCCCTGGGCCCTGACATGCTGTCTATATTCCTTCACCTGGAATGCTCTTTTCGGCTCTTCTCAGGACAGCCGAAGACAAGCCTCCTGGGTCTGCTCATCGCAGCCCTGCCTTAGGGCCCCTGTTGCACCTGGAAGGTCCTCCCGGATACGTGCCTTCTTATCCTCTAGCTGCTGCTTTGAAGCGTCACCTCTTCCAGGAAGCCTTCCTCTCCTAATCACAGGGATGATGTGTGAGCCCTGGGCTTCACCCCTGCTGCGGCTTGTCCAAACTGGAAACTCCTATTCATTCCTTTAGTTTCGCCTCACTGGATTAGCCCAGACTTCATAAACTCGTGTCACCAGTTAGAGAAATGAGGTGTCTCACGTATCCCTTTCAGCAAGAACTCAGGATCTGTCCAAATCGGACCATTAAAATAAGGTCATTGAAAAAAAAATCTCAGGTGTTGAGGCAAACCATCGGGCCACAGAGTCAGCTAGCTGCTCAGGTACATATGATGCCAGATTCAGTCCAGATTCATGGAAATTTTTTATTCTGTAGGATTTTTTTTTTTTAATCTTTTTGCAGTGGAGTTCGAAGGCAGCGGGGATGAGGGGAGAAGGAGAAAAACACAGGAAATGTACAGGATTCTGGAATTTGAAATGTATGGGGAAGACAAATAAATTCTCCCTTGCAAAAATCAAAGCACAAGGTAGTGGCTGGAAGTTCAATTAAATGGACCACCTGCAGAAAATGGGGACCAGAGGAAAAACACCCCGTTGGCACAAAGAGAAACCACACATTTCTAAAAGCTTCTGTCAGTGGATCGTTAAACCTGCAGTGCCACTAAGCTTCAGGTTTGGATGCCTTGGCGATGGTGGCGGGGAAAATGCCAAGGCACGTTCACCGGGCTGAACACTCACTTTGCGATTCCTGGCAGACACCTCCACTCCCACGCAGAAGGTCTGGGGAGTGTTCAGCAAGCAAAGCACTCGTGTCAAAGCAAAGGAAGCCGGCGGCACTTGCACAGCTAAGCTGCACATACACTCTGGTTTACTTTCGGAGAGCCAAGAGCAATTTCTACACCAGTGAAAATATTCTCAAGGTGAAAGAGAAACAAGACCACTCCGCTGACCACATTCATCCGTGAACAAAAACTACTTATGCTTCCTAGTTTATGATATGGTTCCTGTCTTGTATTCACACTTTGGGGTTGATATTACCCTTATTTTACAAGGGAGGCACTTGAACCTCTGAGAGTATAAATCATCTTCCAATTAACGATCATTAAAAATAATAATGCCTAGTATTTCTTCAACACTTTCTATACACCAGACACTCTGCTAAGAACTTAATCTACGTGATCTCATGTATTAGTCATGAAATCACCCTTGCTGGTCCTTGAATCCCCTTCCTCAGCTCCCTGGCATCATTTGACTCCCATCTTATCCCTTGGATGGTTTCCACTCATGCTTAGAATAAAAGCCAAAGTCCAAAGTTTACTGTCATCGTGATGTTAGGCTCTTACCCATCTCGGGGACTTTGTATTTTGCTCCTCCCTCTTTCCCCAAACACCCTCACCCACACATCATGCTAATCGCTAATACCTACTCAACCTTCGTGTCTCAGAGTAAATATCGCTTCTTCCACGAGGTCTTTCCTAACCCTCCTGTCTAAATCTGGTTTCCCTATTGTGAGCTCACCAAACACACTGTACTTTTCCTTTGGAACACTTACACGTCGGTCATCATTTATTTGCTTGGTTATACCTTTTCTATCTGTTCTCTTGAGGCCAGGACTGGGAGTCTTTGGGGCATCACTGTATCTTTATTACCTGGTGGCACCTGGCATATGGTGGGTATTTAACAACTGTTAACAAAACAAAAACAACGTTTGATAGTAAATCCTAAGAGGTGAAAAACATACACAACATGTACATTATTGGGATACGTGTTTGTGGGTACAATTCCTCAACATTTAGAATATAAAATTCTATACAGTGTAGTTTTTTGACTTTCAGAATCAAATCATGGACAAGGTGTAGAAGGCTGTGCGGACACTGTAGGACAGAAGATAAATGTTAATGACCTTGACACAGTAAGAACAAGGGTATAGTTGACCAAAGTCAGGTAATGGAAGTGGGGGATGGAGAAGGTGGTGGGTCCATCCTAATCTTATTAACTCGGGTGTCAATATATACTGTCTGAAGTTGATTTATTGAGAAACGGAGGTTTAAATAGATGATTTAAAATTAAGTGTAGCCAATAACAAAACCAAATATAAAAATGTGCCTGTCAAGCATTGAACATTGTGGGTGGACTCATAAAAGATTAAATATTCATCGTTCCTAAGAGGGAGTCTATAAATATTCCTAAAATGGTTAAATCAAAACACAGAGACATCAGCATTTTATCTCCAGTTACGAAGGCACCTTAATAAAAACCAGAACCGAAGAAAAACATTAAAATTGTCCTTGAGGAGTGAGATCCCTGGCTTTTCTCACAGGCTATTCTGTGCTATTTAACTGTGATTGTCATAGTTCGGGTTCTCCCAGAAGTAGGTCTTGGAGGCAAGTTGTCTACTGGGACGCAAAGAGTACCTGCAAGAAAGTGGGGGAAATGTTACAGGGAAGAGAACCACTAAAGACTAGGTTATTAAACCAGCTATTGCAATGAGCAACTAAAGCTATTTCCACAGGAAAACTGGAGAATAACGTAATCCAAGCATTTTATAATTATCTTTTATCTTTTTATAATTATCTGAGAAGCAAGGGACCTGCGGGTATTCATACACTGATCCTCAACAGTCACTGGCTGAAGGCTGCTCCCAGGGTGTTGCTAATTTCCCAGCACTTCCAGCCCACTGTACGGGAGGGGGCAGAGCAGCCTGCCGTGGTTCTAGAAAACAAGCTCTCAGGCACAAAGATGCAGACACTGCCAGTCAGCCGTTATGGGGACCAGGTACAGGGTGAGGACCCAGGGATACAAATGAAGCGCCCACAGCTTCTACTACAGTTGTCACGTGTGCATATTACTTTGGTACAAACATAAGTAAACATGAACTACCAAAATGTGTTTTAAAATTTCTTATGTATCCACACAAGGAAATGAGCATTTATGAGGCATCAGCCATGGACCAGAAACTGTGTTAGAACAGATCCATTTATATCGTCTTATTTAATTTTTCCTATAACCCTGTTGTCGTGTATTACGATCATCTCTTCCAGATAAGTTAAAGAGAGCTCAGAGCATCTTTGTAAATATTAGAGGGAACTCTAGTTTCTAAGGTAAGTCATTACATGTAAATATAAGCAAGTATTGAATAGGAGTGAGAACAAAGTTAACTCTAAGTTTTCTAATGCAGAAAACCCTATGAAGGATGAAAATCGGACAGTAAGGATGACAGGAGATATTGGTTCAAGATGGCAGAGTAGAAAGAAGTGTGCTCACTCCCTCTTGCGAGAGCACCGGAATCACAACTAACTGCTGAACAATCATCAACAGGAAGACACTGGAACTCACCAAAAAAGATACCCACGTCCAAAGACAAAGGAGAAGCCGCAGTGAGATGGTAGGAGGGGAACAGTCACAATAAAATCAAATCCCGTAACCGCTGGGTGGGTGACTCACAAACTAGAGAACACTTATACCACAGAGGTCCACCCACTGGAGTGAAGGTTCTGAGCCCCACGTCAGGCTTCCCAACCTGGGGGTCTGGCAATGGAAGGAGGAATTCCCAGAGAATCAGACCTTGAAGGCTAGTGGGATTTGACTGCAGGACTTCGACAGGACTGGGGAAAAGAGAGACTTCACTCCTGGAGGGCACACACAGGGTAGTGTGCACATCGGGACCCAGGGGAAGGAGCAGTGACCCCAGGGGAGACTGAACCAGACCTACCTGCTAGTGTTGGAGGGTCTCCTGCAGAGGCCGAGGGTGGCTGTGCCTCACCACGGGGACAAGGGCACGGGCAGCAGAAGTTCTGGGAAGTCCTCCTTGGCGTGAGCCCTCCCAGAGTCCACCATTAGCCCCACCAGAGAGCCTACAAGCTCCAGTGCTGGGTCGCCTCAGGCCAAACAACCAAAAGGGAGGGAACCCAGCCCCACCCATCAGCAGACAAGCAGATTAAAGTTTTACTGAGCTCTGCCCACCAGAGCAACACCCAGTTCTATCCACCACCAGTGCCTCCCATCAGGAAGCTTGCACACGTCTCTTAGTTAGACTCAACCACCAGAGGGCAGACAGCAGAAGCAAGAAGAACTACAATCCTGCAGCCTGTGGAAGGAAAACCATATCACAGAAAGGGAGACAAAATGAAAAGGCAGGGCTTCACTGGTGGTGCAGTGGTTGAGAGTCCACCTGCCGATGCAGGGGACACGGGTTCGTGCCCCGGTCTGGGAAGATCCCACATGCCACAGAGCGGCTGGGCCCACGAGCCATGGCTGCTGAGCCTGCATGTCCGGAGCCTGTGCTCCGCAACGGGAGAGACCACAACAGTGAGAGGCCCGTGTACCACAAAAAAAAAAAAAAAAAAAAAAAAGAAAAGAAAAGGCAGAGGACTATGTACCAGTTGAAGGAACAAGATAAAACCCCAGAAAAACAACTAAATGAAGTGGAGATAGGCAACCTTCCAGAAAAAGAATTCAGAATAATGATAGTGAAGATGATCCAGGATCTCAGAAAAAAATGAAGGCAAAGATCAAGAAGATGGAAGAAATGTTTAACAAAGACCTAGAAGAATTAAAGAACAAACACCTAGAAGAATTAAAGAACAAACAAACAGAGATGAACAATATAATAACTGAAATGAAAAATACACTAGAAGGAATCAATAGCAGAATAACTGAGGCAGAAGAACGGATAAGTGACCTGGAAGACAGAATGGTAGAATTCACTGCCATGGAACAGAATAAAGAAAAAAGAATGAAAAGAAATGAAGACAGCCTAAGAGACCTCTGGGACAACATTAAACACACCAACGTTCACATTAGAGGGGTCCCAGAAGGAGAAGAGAGAGAGAAAGGACCCGAGAAAATATTTGAAGAGATTGTAGTCAAAAACTTCCCTAACATGGGAAAGGAAATAGCCACCCAAGTCCAGGAAGTGCAGAGAGTCCCAGGCAGGTTAAACCCAAGGAGAAACATGCCGAGACACATAGTAATCAAACTGACAAAAATTAAAGACAAAGGAAAATTATGAAAGCAACAAGGGAAGAATGACAAATAACATACAAGGGAACTCCCATAAGGTTAACGGCTGATTTCTCAGCAGAAACTCTACAACCCAGAAAGGAGTGGCACGATATATTTAAAGTGATGAAAGGGAAGAACCTACAAACAAGATTACTCTACCCGGCAAGGATCTCATCCAGATTCAACGGAGAAATCAAAAGCTTTACAGACAAGCAAAAGCTAAGAGAAATCAGCACCACCAAACCAGCTCTGCAACAAATGCTAAAGGAACTTCTCTAAGTGAGAAACACAAGAGAAGAAAAGGCCCTACAAAAGCAAACCCCAAAACAATTAAGAACATGGTAAGAGGAACACACATATCAACAATTCCTTAAATGTGAATGAATTAAATGCTCCAACCAAAAGACACAGGCTCACTGAATGGATACAAAAACAAAACCCATATATATGCTGATGTAGCCTGTACTAATCAGCCTCCTGGGACAGAAACTGGAGTGTGTAAGGGTAGAGGAAATGTATCTGGAAGGGTGTGGGGGACTCCTTGTAGGAATGGTCCCAACTCTCCACTCTCTGTGTTATCTCTACTCTTTCCAATGTGATTTTACAGCTCTGCTCATCAAAATGTTGAGTCTTATTTTTTTATTCCTTGAATCTGGGCTAATTTTATTTCCTTTGACCCCTAGAATATGATGGAAGCGATGCGGTGTCATTTCCAAGCCTAAGAGACCTCACACACTTGCATGCTCTCTTGGACCACTGCCTGCTACTTGAGAAGCAGCCTTTATAACCAGCTGGAAGACGGGAGACTGTGCTTCCCATTGGAAACTGTCAAAGATGAGCTGGTCCCAGCTCACACGGCAACTGAATGCACTTGCACGACTGACCCCTAGAAGAACTGCCCAGCCAAGCTCCAGCTCAAACTGCTGCCCCTCAGAATCACGTGCTAAATACTATTTATTGCATTAAATGCTGGGCTTGGGGTAGTTTGTTATTTAGCAGGGTAGTACGAGATTCCTCATCGGCCACACTGGCAGAGTGATCAAAGAATATTTGTTAAATTCGTGAATGGCCTTCCTCTGTTTCTTTATTTCCTATCTTGATGTAATTTTACAATATTTACTTTCACCAAAAAATACAAGCATGTTATGCTTCACCAGAGATGTCACTTTTTGTAGGTGTTTGAAAATTGTATCACATTTTTAATAGCAGCAATGTGTTCCCCCACGGGGAAACAAAGACAGGCTTCAGAGTCTGGACGGATTAGGTGTATTCCCATCCTCCCTCTACACTTACGATGAGACTATTACCGATTTATGACAATAGATGTATTTGTGAAGATGATAAATAAGAACTCTAGATAAGGAAATGAGCTTTGAGGCATACCCACAGATAAGCATGTAGAGAGAGCAGAGAGAGGAATGACCACAGGAGAGAGATGGTTTTCAGATGTTCGTTCCTTTTATCTGTTACTTTGACTCACGTGGTGGCTAGGCTGAACGGAATCTGCCTGTTGATTTCATTAGTCGCTATATTTTCTAGGAACTGACAGCATCTAGCGTCATGAATCTTACATTCAGACTGAGAGATTAAAGAAGAAGAATTAAAGGGATGGAGTGAAACATCTTTGGCCCTCTTATCTATAAGAAGTCTCAGTTAGCTTTAATCTGTGCATGGAAAAAGGAGCTCAAAATCCATACTTTCCTCTTGGCCTTTACTTCAGGTCCTCACACGAGTGTAAGATTCTCTTCCAGGTCTGGAGAGAGGGGTTGCCTCTGAACCCAGACAAAAGGTCTGGATGAAAAAGGAAGCAATTTAGTCAATCACTCACACACTAGGTCTCCATGCCAAACATCTGGACATTTGGAAGCATCTGGGCAATGAACCATTGTTCAGTTTTCATCTAGAAATGTTGGCAGATGGAGCCCCAACCAAAGACATGGAGATGAATTTGCCATTACAGTTTTGTGGAGTCCAGCCTCAGAAGGTCTGTGGTTCGACTTGAATGCTAGACTTGAAAAGGAACTCGTATGCAATCTAGTGTAAATCTTTTATTTTATAGATAAAGTGGAAGTCTAGAGAAGGGAGGTGTCTTGGCTAAGGGCACCGGCTACTTGATGAATCATCCAGGTGTAGACACTAGGCATCTTGATGTCTACTTACCCCTATTTCTCTACTTTATGCCTTGCTGAGAGACAAGAAAAACTTTTAACTTGTGTATAAACTGAAAATAAATGACTACTCCTCACCCCAAATAGGTGGGATAGAAATACTATTTATTCTCACTAACTTGAGTGGGTGAGCTTATCTGTAGAACGCTTTAGAGCTTGTTCCGTGCTTTAACACTTTCCTTCTGGAGCATCATAACAATACCAATGGCAAACAGAACAGCTTACTGTGTCCTTAATTATACATAATTATACATTAATTATACAAATTAATTGATGGTCTCATAGCCTGCAGATGACAAAGCTGTCACTTTTCCCAGCATTTACTCTTTCAAACATTTATTGAGCACCACCTGCATGCCAGATATTACACTAGGAGCTCATGTATACCCATGGGTGTTAATTCCAGCAATAAGTACATCTTCTCTGCATCAGTCAGCTTTGGCTAAGTCACGCTGCAGTAACAAAACAACCACAAATAACCATGGCTTGGAGCACAAAGATTTCATTTTGAGTCATGTTGCATATCCCAGCTCTGTTCTATGTCATCTTCCTCACTTCAGGATCCAGGCTAATAAAGTAACCAAGAGCAACGTGTCCTGGACATGATGTTTACGCTACAGCCACTGTAACCGGTCTTAAGAGACCTGAGTTCTTGGGGGAAAGTGGAAACAAGAATAATAAGAAAAGAGCAACCCAGAGATAGAAAGGGAAGCCATTGTTAAGAGCTCTGAAAAGATGATTTCGTTAGTTACAACCGTAGGAACAGAAAAGTGACTGACGGGTTTGCATTTCAAACAAGGGAAAAAAGAACTATTGTTTTGTGTGAGCCGGGCTGGGTATGGGATTCTGAATTCTTTGTTAAATACTCTGGCAAGAATTCAGCTGGCCTCTTACATTTTCCTGTCAAACTCTGAAATGGACTACAGCCTTTGAACTAAAATGCCATCTACCCAACCCAAGACTCAGACGGCTCTGAAAATATTCACTGCTCAGCCGTCGATTTTAAATCGCGCTTGCCCTCGGCTACTTTAAATCATCTCTCCACCAACAGCCTGGAATACGTTAGACAACTTTATTGCCACATTCCTCGCCAACTTAATTTTTGTAAATCATATTCTAGCGCTTAAACTTCCTCATGGAACTGGGCGATTTGTTTTTCATGTGAGCTGTGGAATCGAACAGCTGAGTCCAGGGCTTGTGGGGGTCACTGCACTGCATCCTTAAAAGGGGACAGGAGTCATTGTTAGCTGACCTCCTTGAATTATTTTGGTGCTTCTGGACACAGCTCATAATTATCATGACTAGTATGATAACCTGACACGGGTGATTCTGTGGAATCTGAAATATTGCATGCCCAGTGTCAGCCCAGATAAGAACAGAGGAACCGGCAGAGAAGGATCGGTCAGAATAGTTTTCCTCACTCTAATATGGCGTTAGAACCATTGGAACGGATTTATTTTTAACCCCCAAACGCAGAGTAAATGCTCAATGAAGATCTCTCCTCAGTTTATACTTTTACTTCAAAATGGCCTTTTAAAAATTATGAAAGTCATGGTAAATATGATAAATGACGAATATGGAAAATGTTGTAA